CAGGATGATGATAATAACAGGCAAAAAGATAATGATAGTGATAACGATGAAATGGCAACAACTGCAACACTTGATGATGACTTTTTTTGATAGATAAAAATGAATAGTATTCAACTATGAACTTTCACCAGTAGACCTCCCGCAGACCTCTAGTCAAAAGTGACTTCTTTTTTGATCAGTAAGATGAAATTTTCATGTAAAAGACACGCTGCGATGCCTTACAAAGGCGATTGGATTCCAATTTTATGCATCCGCAGCATCTTCATGAGACATCATGGATGTCGAGTCGACAAAAGTAGATTCTGGCAGAGTGTGAGCTATAAGCGGATCAATTCCTGGTTCATTCCATGTGCAAACATCTGCAAAATAACAGTTCAAAATTTCGATTTTTTTTTTCTGTTTCAACTACAATTTGATCCATATTATCTAATAAAGCTGGTATTGTAGTATTCCTTTCTCTACCTAGTTTGTGTTTAATTAATCTCCACCAATTCTTCGAAGGAGCACAGACATTGTCATTAATTCTTTTAAAATAGTTTTCTTTAGTAGATTCACATGCTTCTTTAAATTTCTTCGCAATTTCATGATATAGCTGTAAATGATATATTGAATTGTTTCTTTTACGACAGAATTTTAATTTCTTTTTATAAAGGATTCTCAACTCATCATTAAACCAGACTTTATATCATAATTTTATCACTATTACCTTACTTGAAACGTAGGTTTTAATATGCTCAAGTAAAATTTCTTCAAAAGCTTGCACTTTCTCGTTAAGGCTATTGTAATTTTTCAAGAGTCGTTCTACGGGAATATCTAAAAACCTTGCAATCACTTGTTCCTAATTTACCGCACCATAATCATAAACAGTTCTCATTCTTCTACCTTTACAAAAAAGCGTATTCATTTTAAATTCAATAAAACTGTGATAACTTCTATCTAACTTTGGTTGAATTACTACATCATTAATAAATGATGGATTCGTGGTAATAATTAAATCTAAACAAGTGTTAGATACTTCTCTTGTTACTCCTCGAACTAACTGAAACAAATTTTCTGATTCAAGAAATTCTACGAGTTCTACTCCTTCCTTAGTTGAATCTACGTTATTCATAGACCAAGACTTATTCTGCGCATTTAAGTCACCTACTATAATAATATAATCTTTTTTATATTTTGATTTATTTATTTCTTCAAGTACATTGTGTAATTGCTCTTTTATTTGCCTCACAGTAATCGTCTGTGGACGATACACATTCAAAATTAGTACACTTAAATGATTTTCTAACGTTAGGCGCATTACTAGTATTTTAAATCGTGCATTTTCAAATTCAAATAATCGTATATAATGAAAATCACTTCTTACATAGACCGCACATCCACCACCGTGACGCTCTCGGACCAAGCACATTGGAGAATGATAGTGAAGGAAATTGGTATCCCTATCTAAAGTACTATGATCGAGCCAAGTCTCCGTTAAACACAAAACCACAGGACAAGCAAGAGACAAATAGGCACTAACAGCATCTCTCTGTGAAAGTAGACTTCTTATATTCATAAATGTAATATTTCACTAGCAAACACATTTCTCTTGAATTTACTTATGGATAAAAGAGAATAGCCACTCTTTCACCAAAACAGGACCTAACACATGTTAGCACCTAAAAGCGTTGGGCAAAACAAATAAAGGACAAGAGGATAAAAAGAATGAGAAAAAAAAAATGATTAACGAAAAAAATCGACATGAATAATCGAAGGGTCACGCCGAGATTATCTGAATAGCGCAGTTACTTGACTGATCATGAGTATTATCAATGTCCACCATAGACTAAAATCTTTCATATTTACCTTTTTGAATAAATAGATAAATGTTACCGTTTCGTGTAAATACTCTCTTTTTATCTAACTTTTGTTTTGCATAAAAATACAACTGATTGTTGTACCGTGTTAAATGTTCATTAACAAAAATATTTTTCAATTTTTCATGTTGTCGAAGTTGTTTATGTGATAGATAGAATTTATTACGATCATTAATACGTACAAAACTTACAATAATTGTTGACTTTAATTTATCACCTGTTGTTTTTACAGGTAAAAACACTTAATTTTGACAGAACAAAAGAAACCATATGCAGGTAACGATACTTACACAATACAAATAACCTATTATGAGAACTAATCAGAAATATTCTTAGACCTCCGAGAAAACATGGTATTCAGAAAACCTTTTAGCGTTATGTTAGATTATAAACTGTTCACATCAAATCTGTCCTTATGCCAATATAAGTTGCCAAAGGCATGAGACCGAGTAAGTGGTATACGAGCGTTACCCTGTAGATTCGTAACAAACAAACCTGGTTACTTGATTGGCTCAATATTGCCGTTATCGCCTGTTCGAGAGTATCACAGTCACCGTAGTTGTCGAAGGAACAATGCAACTAAAGCACTTTTCTCTGTCGATTTATTTTTGCTAAAGACATCTTGAGCAGCCGCAGTATGCCTCAGTGTCTAACAAGGGTCTCGTAGCATTTTCAATGCCTAAAATATGACTACCTGATTGATCTATGGCTGATGGCTGATTAAGGAGCTTGACTGTAGCTAGTGTATTGTGCGTTTCTGATATATTAGGGATGTCTATTAAATGCACCTAAGCTATTTTTTTCGAAAAAAGCCGCGACGAGACCGGGTTTCTGGAAAACCAGGTTTTCAGAAACTTTAAAAAATAATCTAAACCTTTCTTAATGAGGTATGATTGTAGACCGCAAATTTCTGATTAAAATGAGATATCTCCCAGCTCTACACGACCTTTCTTTGCCAAGTTATAGAATTTACAATAAAAGCCCTAAATTAATCTCTTCTTATTTCTGTAGCTTTGAGCTGACAATGAGCATTTAGGACTTTTCGTGTAAATTCTATAACTTTGTAAAGAAAGGTCATGTAGAGCTGGGAGATGTCTCATTTTAATCAGAAATTTGCAGTCTACAATCACGTCTAATTAAGTAAGGTTGGATTATTTTTTAGAGTTTCTGAAAACCTGGCTTTCCAAAAACCCGGTCTCTGGAGACCCAGCAGCACAAACCGATGTCAGATTCGGATTTAGCGCAGTCAATTACCTATTGTCCACTAGATTTCAAGCAAAAAACGATTGCATACTTGGAGACCTTTCCTCGTTAGAGGTGTTTTTTCGAAGACATTAAGGCAGCTAACAGTAAAACGAGGAGTCAATGCACCTAAAATGTCTTCAAAACGCACTGTGGAAGCATTTTTAAGCTGGCCGAGTGGTTTATCAAGGCACTTTTTTTTGACAGTGTAACGGCATTCTGGTTTTTACAGCAAGATGCCAGCAAAGATGCAACCGGACCGAGCGCCCGTTTTCGGTCCGATCCAGTCGAGACTTATCAACCGACCGGTTGGATCGGTCCCGATGAAACTGCTGGACCGGTTGACTTGGCTTATAACTAGAAAATATGACAGAAAATAGCATATTTATATCGAATAGGAAGCAAAAAACATCGGTCGGTTACGGGTCAAAGTTTTTAAAAAATGGCCGGTCAACCAGTCGGTCCAATCCGGTCGCCACATTTACGCGGATCACCGGATCACCGTTGTTTTCAAACTGAGTATAAAAAGCTGAATTCCAAAATTTTAAAATTGAAACTGACCGCCAAATTCACGGAACAGGAGCAGAATCGTAAAAACTACTACCAAATTTGCAAACGTATATAGTTCTTTCCATTGATTCGCTCAAAAATCTTAGACAAAATGGGAAGTAGCGTAATAGGTAATTATAATTAGCTGAATCATTGTGATCACCAGATTTAAACAGCGCAGTTAGATAACCGGCTTTCCAAGGTGAAGGAAAATGACCTAAAATAAGTGATATGTTAAAGACATGCGTTAAAATGTTTGAAATTGATCAAGAAACTTCTTTTAACGTCCTAGCGGGGATGCCTTAAAACAATCAATTAATATTGTTAATTAAGATTAATATTTCTAGTACTTCAGGGTCTGAAATCAATAACATCGACATTTTCATTTTACTCGTTTTAATTTGTTTAGGCAACATAAACTTCTTGAGGAGAAGAAGATTTATATTTACTTCTCCAGCAACTGTTTTGAAATTTCAAAACAGCTGCTGTTACTCTCACATTTATATTGAAATTATTACCCCTCAACAAGTTAAATATTACTCCTTCAATACTACTGAATCTCTCGCTTGTCTTCGGTTGTCACTCAAAAAAACCGAAAAATGTCAGTTGCGCTTTTGTGGTTATAGGTTAAAAGTTAATCACATAGTCTCGTTATTTCAATCCTAGATCATTTCAATCCTTTATTATAATCATTTATTAGACACATGGCATCATTTAACTATTCAAACTATACACTGACGTCTGAAAATTTAATTTAATCGTTAAAACTTAAAAATTCTTTGCTTATACAACATAAGTATGAAATTCCTTAGCTGTTCGAAATGAGCAACGAACCCTCGGTTGATACAAAGGACTTTACAACTGAACACATCTGTCGTTTCTAATATTTTTTAATCAGGCATCTGGCGGATTACATTCATTCTGATGGACTTAAATGTCCATAACTGAAACGGAGGCGGAGAGATGAATGGTGTTAGTGAGGTGTCGACACTATAAAATATCGACGAAATCGGAAAACTAGTTAGCGTGTCGACAAATTGGGGCCGAACCGATAAATGTATCTATGCTTGAATATACAGAAATTCCCGTGTGTAATGATTTTTTTGCCCTGAACTACCAAATTGTTTTATTTAATGTTGCCATGCTCAGTTGCATATGACATTTCACTCTCTTCTATTTCCATTTTTCCATCTTTTTTCTTCTCAAACGTGTGACAAACGGCGTAGGGTGGTATGTAACAGTGCATTGTCACAGATCCTTCTACTTCATGCTCATTTTCCATTTTGTGTACACCCATCATGTCGTTGATCCATCGAACATCGCCCTCCACTAATTTAGACTCTTGAATCACGTCTAATCCCGACCATTTTCCATCATCCACTGAACCAGCTTCAACTATTTTCTTGTGAAACTTATCGTCTTTCGGATACACATAACGCGTCTCGATTATTTCACCTAAAACAACAGGTACAGACAATATTATAAAAGACAGAATAAGTATTGAAAACATTGGATTTCTAATGCTTTCAAACGATAAACAACAATTCGAAATACGTTGTAATGTAGTATACGTAGTTTTTAGTAATCCTCTGTTAAAATTATAGGTCAAAAATATTCTCTGCTCGTGGCTCATGCAGTTTGAATAAAGTGTTCCTTGTACTTTGCGAATGCAAATAGAGACGCTCCGAAGTACAAAAAGCAGGGGGGTTGATACGAAGAGTGAAGGATTTATACCGCAAGATTTGGAAGCAAAATTAGTGAAAGAGAGCAAGAAGAATGCAAAACTTTTAAAATGCGAGCGGTAGCAGATTTTCTTGTAAACAACAAAAAAGAAAATATGTAAGTTTTTACTCTTAAACCGAGAGTATTTATAACATAATGAATAATCAACGATTGCACATTATGCAGTATCAAATCAGACCACAGTTTTCCCTCTTCATTTCCACATCGTCTTATCTTTATTAGTATACGTCAGATAGTGCTGATTGTTATTCTCAATTCTAGAGCAAAAATTTATCGGATTTGGGAGTAAAAGATTTCAAAAAGCAAGGACGGGATCTCTCTCTACTTCTGCCATCGCGGCATTCCTAGATGCAAACTGTATAATCTATATAAAAAATTTTTTGTGCAATTTTAATATAAAATTTTCTCAGACATATTCTAGAGAAATATAAACTTTAAGAGAATCATATTTTAATGCATTATGATCAACTCTTGCATGAGATTAATTGTAAAGTCAAAATAACTTTCGCTGAGTATACCTATGTACCATAATAACATCAAATATATTATTGTTCTGATAGTTTTCTTACTCACGATGGATTTATACATTTAAAGCTGTTCACGCATCATTTAGATAAAAAACGAATGCAAGTTACATAAAAGATCTTACCTTTAATTATTCTCATGAAACAATCACATCCTGAATGGTTGTGAATAGGTGAACCCATTTTTGGATTCCAACAGAGTAACATTAATGTGAAATGTTTGTTATCGGTTGCAATTAAATTTCGGGTATACTCTTCTTTAGGGTTCCAATATTGATATCGTTTCCATTCGTTTAAACTTGCATCGTAATTCTTTATTAATAGTTCAATTTTATCATGATCATATACTTTTTTACAGCTGGGCTTTGGATGAGGGTCGTCTTGGATTTTCATTGAAGTCGATTCCAAAGTTTCGCGAAGAGATAGAACAAGATGAGCCAGTGAAAAAGAATGGTTAGGCGAAGTCTAAAATAGAATAGTGAAAAAACACAAGAACTATTATCGAAGATAGCTAAGACTTTGGTGTATCTGTTAGCGTCCAAAGTGACATTTTGTCCAATGTAATATTGGCCTAGGCCACAGTAAAATTCCACGTTGAACTAGTCCAAAGTCTATTTTCACTTTCACCTAGAGTTACTTAAGGTCAAAGTGCAATTTCAGTATGAACTAGTCCAAAGTAAAATGTAATAAAAAGTATCACCACTACAGTACACTAGGCGAATCTAAGATTTGGCTAGTCCAAAGTGCAATTTAGAATTAATCAGACCAATGTGATAGGCCTAGGCTAATGTCAAATCAGGATGATAATTCACACATAATAGACAGAATTGATCATTTGTACTGAAACATTCCTCGTAATGAACTAACGTCCTGTTTTAGATGAATTTTTTATTTGTCAACACATTTGAAAAAGATACAGATTCTGTGAACCAAAAAGGAAAGTTTTGAAAACCACAAAGCTTCTATAAAACCTTCATTTCAGACCAATTCCAAAAGTCATGATCTACTGCAACCTATGCACTGACTGCTTTCTTTATTTGACACTAGCTGCAAATAAAAATGGAAGTCGATCATTTACGACGAATTACTCTTAATCGTAAACTACATAAAGCGGCATTTATTATTATATTATTCCTGAAAATTAGTTGTAGTATCTAGATAATTTAGAAGTTTTCCTCTCTTCTTCTACCAGCATATCGTAGATCCTGACTTATGAAACAAGTGAGAAATCAAAGTCTGTTTGGCCGAAAAAACTTTTCCTTGGAATTGGTCTGAAATGACAGGTCTGAAACAGGACGTTGGTTCATTACGAGGAATGTTTCAGTACAAATGATCAATTCTGTCTATTATGTGTGAATTATCATCCTGATTTGACATTAGCCTAGGCCTATCACATTGGTCTGATTAATTCTAAATTGCACTTTGGACTAGCCAAATCTTAGATTCGCCTAGTGTACTGTAGTGGTGATACTTTTTATTACATTTTACTTTGGACTAGTTCATACTGAAATTGCACTTTGACCTTAAGTAACTCTAGGTGAAAGTGAAAATAGACTTTGGACTAGTTCAACGTGGAATTTTACTGTGGCCTAGGCCAATATTACATTGGACAAAATGTCACTTTGGACGCTAACAAATACATCAAATACGTTCTTAAAAGTTTTTGCTATGGCCACTATTACGCCAATGTTTCCTTTCATTAATAACTATAAAAACACAGTGATAAACTATCTTAGGTGAACTAATACATTTTTGACTAATTCATGTGAAATTTAAAAAATCGTAACCCACTCAGAAACACTTAAATTTCAAAATATGCTCTATTTGAGCTTCTTTGGATGGCAGAGATAACTTTTTGAACTTTTCTGGAAAACTTTCGAAAAATAGTTACATATATTCTTGTTTTTCAAGGAATAGTTTCAATGTAAATGAACATCTCCTCTGCATATCTCTGTGGAAAAAACATTTAAGTTTGTTTAGCTTAAGTAGGCTTTTGTATGTACATTACCATGTTATGTCTAATACTCATCTTATTACGTAAAACAAGCTATTTTAAACAGCTGAATACAGTGCGAATTAAAAAGACTCTTCTTGATAAAATCATACCTCTTCTGTTTCTAGCTGTTTAATTTCTTGTTCTAGCTGATTATCCATGTCGACATGTTTGTATGTACAGTGATAAAGTTTTGGTAAAGAAGAACTTTTTTCATCCATTTCTTTTGGTTACCTGAAACAACTGATTTGAATTAATATTCTTTGAAACACTGAAATGATCATTTTGAGTGTTTGCATACAAACAAAAGACAAAGCTCATGCTTTTGTCCTTCGTCTAACATTTTCTCATCAACCGCATAAATCATATTTTGTAGTTTCTTCGTAAGTAGAAAAGGGCAAGTGATCATAAAAACAAAGGAGAACATCTACTTGCCTTTACAAGCATTTAGATTTTTGTTTAGGGAACTTTTTGGCAGGACTGAGCGAGACTGAGTCCGAAACATTTAAGACTAAGTTTCGAGTCCATTTTGAGTCCTGTAATCTTTAAAACTCTGTTTTGATTGTTATAGTTTATTCTAAGATTTGAAATAGATCAAATCTTGTTGTAACAGAGAAACGATTCTACAGGTTTTCAAAATACCACTTAGTTACCATTAAATCAATTTCTGTTTAGGAAGGCTGTTTATACTCTGCAAGATGAGACTACTTAGTAAAAAATCCGAGATGGTCTTTGAGAATGCTTCTGTGATAAGCAGATGTTTTTCTCGTGCAATGGCTACCTAAGTGCCTGGCATTGAGACACTAAAAACGAAAGTTGGAAAAATTAAAAAGCAATTTATTCTTCTCATATCTAAACAAAATCTTCAATGAGAAAAAAAGCTCAAATTGACATCAACATTATCATTTAGTTATTGTGTTAAAATTATGATGATAGATGATGTCGTGTTCTATGGTTTTCTTTCAAATAAATTTACAATCCTCCTGTATTTATTCTCTGTCACTGAATTTTGGATTCGGTGATTATTTTCAAAACATTTGAGTAACACATGATTCGATTCAGTTCTGTCTGCTGATTTCAAATATGCCTTCATTTTCCATTGAAGATGTATAGGAAGTGGCAAAAATACAAAATAAGCAGACCGCTTCTGTGCTGAAAATCTATTTTTTCTCATTGTTTATGTTCCCGCATTCGCAATTCACCTCAACTTTTTTATATCGTACAAGAGAGAGAATGGAATTCTGTAGAAAGTGTGAGAATTTACTCACGCAGTATCAAAACTGCCGTGTCAAAAGTGTACCTTAATTTTTCTATTAAAAAAGTTGTAGTTCTCATGGAACAATTAATTTTTTTCTTTTAAATGTCAGAATTTGTAGCATAGAATTTAAGGATGTTTTTCTGCAAGAGCGCTCTTATGCCAAGCGTTGTTAATAATTATAGGATTTTTACTGACCATAATATTTTTGAAAAATCATAAAAAAAACTTTTATCTTTCGGCTATTTTTTCTATTTCCCCTTCATTTCACAACATAACGCTGATAGATGTAGACGCACAATAATCTATATTTTTCGAAATAGTGGAAGATGATCGAAGAAAAGATTTTTTATTGTATAGATATCGCGTAGGTACCTATCGATCAAACCTTTTAATTTTCTCAGGAACCATGGAGATGTGAAGCGTCAGAAATATCTAGAAATGTGTGCCTTCTAAAACTTTATAATTATCTATTGATTTCATGATATTTAACGACGGAATCTCTCAAGGTGATAAAACGCTTTTTTCTCGGAATCTAGTGGGTTATAGGTTATCGACCATGCTGATTCCGAATATGACCATGGGAGTGGCCCTTGGTCCTTCGAAGATCCGACTTTTAGAAAACGAATTTTTCAAAAACTCTAAGAAATAACCAGAACATTTCTTAATGAAACATGATTGTAGCGCGCAAATTTTGGATTAAAATGAGACATTCCCCAGCTTTACACGATCTTTCTTTAAAAAAAAAAAGTTAAAGAAAAAAGTTATAGAATTTACAAGAAAAACTCTAAATTAATTTCTTTTGATTTCTGTAGCTTTGAGTTGACAATGAACATTTAGGGGTTTTCTTGTAAATTCTATAACTTTGCAAAGAAAAGTCCTGCAAAGCTGGGAGATGTCTCATTTTAATCAGAAATTTGCGGGTTACAATCATGTCTCATTAAGAAAGGTTTTGGTTATATTCACAGTTTCTGAAAAACTGATTTTCTAGGAAATCGGATCTTCGAAGGGCTAAGGGCCATCCCCGGGGTCATATTCGGAATCAGCATGGTCGATAACCTATGACCCACTAGATTCCGAGCAAAAAGCGTTGTATCATCTCGAGAGGTTCCGTCGTAAGTGGAATTTTTATAACCGGCCGAATTCTTGCTACAGTAAACTTCTGTTATATTTCAACTATATTAATTAAGATACATTTTTTTATAAATCTTGCTACACAAATCACCCATGAACCTCTTACAGTAAATAAATTAACGAATATTTTTTATTGCAGGGCATCAAATGTGAAGATCTTGTTTATTATATCTCTAGAATAATTACGTATAGATGCCATGAAGGTCTTGATTAATTAAAATTATTTAGATAAATGAAGTCTATCTAATGTTTCTATTTATAAGTGTGGAAATGTTAAGATAAAATGTTGGCATAAATACTCACCTATACTCAGATATTAAAGAACGATATGTAGACGAATACAATTTCAAACAAGTATGTCGAAAGGTGTATTTATACGACTTTTTTTAACAAAAATTAGTAACCACTGTAGGATCAAGATGCGAACAGAGAAAGATGATATGATGAATGAAGACTTGCTATGTCGGTCGGAGATCTTTTTAACGTTTATTTTAATCAGCAAGAAAGATGATATTATACGATAGTGTTTGTAACTAATTTCATTAACTACCACAATGTAAATAATACAATATCGTTTATTTTTATGTCCGCAATTGTGTGTAGAAAAAATAAAACATAGATCTCTAATAGTTCGAGTATAGTGAAATTTGGTATAAGATATTATTTTATCTTATAGTTTATAGCGAGGATTTAAGAATAATTAAAACTTAAACCTTTACTCACTATCGGATTGAGTAAGTATTATTTTGGCATGTTAATAGAGCCACAACAAACATCGCAAAATGATGAAAAAATAGTAAAATGATCCTTTCAATTCTCTCCAACTCTTTTATTCACTAGAGTAGCACGCCTCTTTTCTTCCTTTCCATGTAGTTCTATTTTCTTCTTTTTTTTTACTAAACATGAGTCAAATAATCACAATCTGATTTAAACATATGTGAAAATATTTACACAAAGCTTGACAAAGGAAAGAGAGAAACGAAAGAGTGTCTGTTCTCATTTAATATTAAATAAAAAGCGACAGCATAGACGCGTGACGGAAAAAACGTGTGCAGATTTTTCTCATGACTAGATGAAGAACTCGTACACCATTTTCAGATAACAAATATAGTATCGCAGACATTGATACTATATGTTGACATACATTTTCAACCTTTTGCCTCTCAATAGTACTTTTCACAGTAGAGAAGTCAAACAAAATGACGTTGCATTTGTTCAGTGATCTTTTCCGATTAAAGTAATAAAAAGAAAATCTACTTTTTAGCGATTTTCTTGAATACATGAACAGTTTTGAGCTACTACTGTATTTGAAAATAGAACTCCTTCACTGTTTTTCCCTTAAAAACGAGAATAATATCACAAAAAAGAGAGATAATTTGGATGTGTCAAATTAATTTGGATCTCGAGCAAACTATTTTTATTTACATCAAATGAGACGGAACATTTGATAAAAACAATTTACCCATTAAAATTTCAGTTGAAAATTATCTCTGTATATTGACGTCAGCCAGATACTACGAAATATTAAATTTAACATGTAAACAGAATTTTATTCCAACAAGGAAAAATTTATTACAACATCAGCAATCTCTTTCATTAAGTCGGGATTGAAAAGCTATGATTGCTTTACTGTCGCTAATATCGATTTCCGAAGTAGAAAATTAAAATGACCGAAGTAGCTGAAAAGTAAAAATTATATTAAGAATTTGTCATCTCATTCATGTAGAATTTGTATTACCAATCATTGGTCAATGTAGAAATAATATTGGTAAACCGTTTCTTCGTGGTGAAAAAGTCTTAGTTGAATCCTAATTAGGAGGTAAAACAGAATATCGACAGCTGGAATTTCACCTTTGTCATTTTTGTTCAATATTTTCGACAAATTGTCGAAAGTCAATCTGATTTTCGACATTGCCGAATTTCACGTTGTTTTTCGACTAATATCTTAAGTCCTTGGAATTTTTACAATTGTCGAAAATGCATTTTTATTGTAGTACATTTTTAAATTTTAAGAAATTGGAAACAATAAATAGTAGATAGTAGTCTGATAGCATAATACTGGAATGATTTCTGGAATTATTTAGAATACACAGATTATAGATTATAAAAACATAGTGTATTATTTTATTATTATGCATGGTGTATGCTATTAAAAATTCTACTTTAGATGAAACTGAAAATTACTGTCGAAATTCAGCTGGATTTTCAGCAATTGTCGAAGTTCATTGTAAATACGACAATGCGAAGAAAATCATATCGATTTTGGACAATTGATGAAATTGTTGGCGACTTTGCTCTGTATGTTTGACAATACTGTCAAAATTCCGATGGCGAAATTTCAGGTGGCGATATTCTAGGATATCATCTAAGATCAGATTATGTTAAATTTACCATTAACTGAAGATGGAAAGATAAGAACGGATGTACCATAGATAACGTTGGTCTCAGTAATTTTGCTCTAACTCCTGTTCCTTAGATTCCCTAGAACCAATTCTTTTTTAATAGAAGCAGCGTGAAATTCTCTACAAAATTATACCTAAACTTTAATTTCAGAACTTCAATCAAAAAAACTAAGCAAATTATAGGAAAGGCGAAAAAATGAAAAACTTTGTTAACTTAGTACTTTTTTCGACTACTATTATTTCTGTCAGAAAGCTTAGTAAAAGTGAAAACTCAGTTTGTGTTTGGCACATATACCAAAACTAGTAAAGTCTTCCGCCGAATACAACTGAAAAAAGTATTCGTGTAAGATCAGAAGTAAAAGAATGAAAGTCTCATCATTCAGCTGAATGGCTCTCATTTCGCTCATAGCGTAAAACACAATGAGAAAAAAGATTATATTTTAACAAATCACTATTTTTCACATAAATAAATACGACAAATACAAGAAATATCATTATGAAATAGAAATACTCATAATAGTTATCCCTTTAAATAAACACATCTTTGGATAGCAAAGGAGTAAAGTTTGTGCACGATTGTTGTCTCGCGCATTCATATAGCCTTAACATTCCCATTATCACATGTAGATCACTTCTAATATTTTGATCCAGCAAAGCTTGATTGTTCTCCAAATCCTTCATTTGTCATTTGAATATAGCCACCGTCAATTGATAAGTCAGTGGACGTGATGAAAGATGCATCATTTGAACATAAAAATAATATTGGACGAGCAATCTCCGGACAATCAGCACAACGACGCAGCATATGAAATTGACCTAGAGATAGCAAAGAGCATTTATTAACCTGTTTCATGACAGACTAGATAAGAGACATACCCCAGACAGGATCCCATTTTTCTCTACCACCATCAACAGCGGCTTTAAATACCTAGAGAAAAACAAAATCTGTTAGCATTTCAGTAATATCGTCTGAGTGTACGATAAAAAGTGCATCATTCGAAAGAAGGTAGAGACAAGAGTCTTTTTGTATATGCTGAAATATAGAATAAATATTTTCTTGAAAAGTGAGAGGTTGCAGAATCCTGCACAATCTTTGATTTCCATTTTGTATCTTCTTTAATAATATTTTCAGCTTAGTTTACGCTCACGTCAGACTCAAAAAAAAATATCCAATCAGACTTCAGACATTCATAGCAAAAGTTTAATAAAGGTAAAAAAGAATAGCATTTTGCTCGGTTCAAAGAGGTTTTTGAATCTTATCTCTACTTTAGTTAGCTGTTTTTGCCTGTTTGAGACGGTTTATTTAAAGTGAGCAATCGAACTTTTTTACAAGTGTGCATTGGTATACAAATTTTCAAAAACATGAAAATATATAGTCACAAGAATCATCTAAGAAGAATGAATTTGCATCATCTCGATTTCTTAAGAGTACTTTTTCCCAGTCAACGGCAACGACAATATGTGAAAACAAAGAGCAGTGATGTACATCTACTGGGTTTAGCTTATGTTACATATTTATTTCGTCTTACCTCAGGTGACCATGTCCATCCTGGTGAAACTGAATTCACACGAATACCATCTTTACTCAAATCGAGTGCCTGGAAAAGAAATTCGGTAACAATATTATCGTATCTGTTCCTTCTCATCCGTCATCTTACCATACATTTTGTCATCATAATAATTGCCCCTTTTGTACTCGAATATGTCCAACGATCGGGTTGTGGACGATGAGCAGAAATTGAAGAAATATTAACGATTGAACAGGATTTACCTATACACAAAGATGAAATTTATTTTCAATTTTAAGAAAATTAGTAATTTCCAACTAACCTCCTGCATTTTTCATATAAGGATAAACGGCTTTTACCATTAGCGCATATCCACTGACATTGGTTGAGAATGACATGGTAAAATCTTCTGAAGTAGCTGTTAGACCTTTTGAACCGAAAAAGACAGCTAAAAACAAAGGAAATTGTAAAAAATATGGCAAGCTTTAGAAACATGACAGTTCAGTGCATTGCAAAAATGAAGCTAATTCTCTTAGTTTTTAACTGATCTATTGAGAAAGGCATATCTTTTAAAATCCTAGACAATAGGCTAATAATTCACAGTATTCAACTAAAGCTTAATAAGCCATTGATTATTCTTTTTCTTCTTTCGTTTATATATTAATGAATGCCGACAAAAATCTATTTTACTCGTGTTACCTCCATTGACCAAATGGTGTATGACTTCTCTATTTTGCTTTGCAAATTGTTCAACTGCACTCTTAATCTGTTCTTCACTGCGAACATCGACTAAAAACTTATGTATACTCAGTTTATGTGTCAGATGTAGCCGGTGATCAATGTATTTATTACCTTTGAAGAATGTTACGTGTTTTCCTTCCGCTCTGAGTTTTTCTTCTGCCTTCTTTCCATTCTCTTCGTTAAAATCGAATATGGCCACGGTTGCTCCTTCTTTGCAAAACTCATCCACGGTCGCATACCCTATACCACTGGCACCACCTAATTTAAAAAAATATAACTTATTATGGGAAAATAAATAGTTACTGCCTTCTTACCTGTTACAATACAAACTTTATCAACGAATCGATGATAATTTTCAGAATCATTTTTGTTCGCCATTCTTATATCTAAAAATGTGAAGAACATACATTTCAAAAAATTCTATTTTGAGTAAAAAGACAGGAGATATAACAGTAACTAACGAGGGAATCTATAGAGATGATACCCTCCGTTTCCCATGATTTATACATCAGTGAGGTAGTAAATACCCTAAAAGAATTCGTGCCCATGACTCTCGAAGAGCCGTTTTTCAACAAGTCTAAAAATAACCAAAACCTTTTTTAATGAGGCGTGATTGTAGCCCGCAAATTTCGGATTAAAATGAGACATCTTCCACCTCCACACAACCTTTCTTCGCAAAGTTATAGAATTTACAATAAAAGCCCTAAATTAATTTCTTCTTATTTCTGTAGGTTTGAGCTGACGATGAACACTTAGGGCTTTTCTTGTAAATTCTATAACTTGCAAAGAAAGGTCGTGTAAAGGTGGAAGATGTCTCATTTTAATCCAAAATTTGCGGGCTACAATCACGCCTTATTAAAAAAAGGTTTTGGTTATTTTTAGAGTTGCAGAAAAAACAGTTTTCCAGAAAACCGACTCTTCAAGAGTCATGGGACGAATTCTTTTAGGCCATTTACTACCTCACTGAGGTCTATTGATCCATATACAAATCATTGGAATCGGAAAGGGGCATCTCGAAAGGTTTCCTCGTGAGTTATAGAGAGTTCAACAAAGTTTTGGCTGAGTTACCGAATTTCGCGTGTTTTCGAGCCTCACAAGGTTTAAAAACGAACAAATGCTGTAACTTTTGAACAAAGCACCATGGAAATGAGTCCGTTTAGGGTTTTTAATAGCTCAATATACTCTATCGATCGAGATATAAATCACAGAAAACGGAGGATATCACCTCCATAGGTTCCCTCGTAAGAAATATATTTGAAAATTTTTTAAATATTCGAGTTACTCACAAATAATAAGGATTAAATTCTATATTCTCAAAAGATGAGGTTTAAGTTGGTCATATTTTCTTATTTTCGTAATAGTTTTTAGGTTTTGAGCATATGATTAAATAGAAAAATGTTTTGAGGTCGCAATAATGTCATTTTAATTTAACTCTTGCTCATTATTGAGGGGAAAAATTTTTGGATTTGATTTTTGTAACTCGAATCATACATTCAAACCTAACTGAAATTTTAGAGATTGTCGAGCACTTGGTTAGACAGATTTGATAAGAATTTAAGCATCTTAACTTTTAAATTGACTGATAAATTACAGTCAGAAAGGGAAGAAACGTTATTACGTTACGATTATTTTGGCCCTTTGATGTGTCGACATATTGAAACGCTTTATTCCTCCTCTTTTAGTTCTTATGCACACATTTAGTTTACTAAAGCGGTAGAGCTACTAGAGTAAATTAGAGTCATATCTAATAGGGTGGGACAGTTTCAGTTCAGTTCTTTTGAACGGGAACGGGTACCAGTTCGAGTTCAACAAGAACTGAACCGGTAACCAGTTCTTTTCAAAAAAAATTAAAAATAAAACAACTGGTGTACCTAGTTACATTGACCTTTTCTAGTGCGCTAGAGGTAGATGGTGTGTTTAGCTGACTAACCCGAGTTAATATAACTAGCTATATCGATTTTATTTTACTTTGAATTTCTGAAAAGAACTAGTAACCAGTTTCCGTTCTTTTGACCAGTTCTTAGGGACTATAGGAACTGAAACTGTCCCACCCCTAATCTGATCTCTGTTTTTTGAAAACGACAAAAATTGAGCTTTAAATGTTTTTCAAACTTATTCCAGTGAATGTACTTGGTACAAGTACTTGGGAATTACGTGATAAGTTAAGCACTTGGCAACTACTTGAGCAAGAACTTGGCAAGTGTCGTTACTTGACTTGCTTCAGTCAAGTACTTGGACAAGTTAGTCACTCTTTTCTTTTGCATGCCCAGCTGTATATAAACACCACACTATCAATCGTTATACATTTATAGAATAAACTTATATATTTCTACTGACGAGTGAGTTGAACAAACTTAGTAGCCGTATTTGATCTACAAAAGTAGAGTAGCTCTAGAATATGTATAAAATACAAAATAACAATAAATGGAACAAGTACTTGACTGAACTTTTTAAAGTAAATTCACTTGCACTGTGTAGCCAAGTACTTACATTTTACTTGTTAAGTACTTGAGAAATAAATTTACTTGGAAAAGTCAACAAGTACTGTCCTCATGACTTAATCCAAGTACATCCACTAGGGCATGGTTTGAAGGATTCGACATCTTGTTTTTTTAAAGTAAAAAACTTCTCAGCCTTGTCTGCTTTTGAAACTCTTAACCGTCTAAACATTTATTACTGAATACTAGAGGATAACAGAGAATATTGTTAGACTAGAAATGTCATTTAGTTTAACAGAAAAGAAACGAGTCAGTTCTATGATGATATTAAAAAATGTGAATAACATTGATATATTTTCATATCGTTGAAGGTTCTTCCCAAGTTAAGCTTATCGTATATTATCTATTTTCATTCTGTCAAACGTATTTGAATAACTAAAGAAGCAAAGTGGTATATCGATACTTCTTGATATTTAAATTAATACGCGCGAGTAATTGGTCTCTCTGAAATACAATTCCAGTATGAACGGGAAGAGTTACATGATGATGAAAACTAAACAGTATAAAATAATTATTTTTCTGCTTCTGAAAAAGAAAATTACCTACCGTACAAAATACACACTGTTGATGTAATGTAAAAGATTTATTTATTTTCGAATGTTAACATGTCAAAATGTTTCACTCTCCTTTTCTTTACGCCTGATAAGAACAGCAAATGTGACGGACCATTTTTCTTTTCTCTAGTCATAGCAGTTTATTCGTACATTACTTTATTGCGCTTTCTTTCTACTAGAATCATATCAAAAGTTTTCCGTAGAATTTTATTTTGTTATATAAGAGAATCCACTAGCCACTCCATTGTGTTGTCTGTATGGTCACGAGTTAAATAAAACGTATGTGGGATGTTGCCGATTTCATATCATATCTCTCGTTCGTCTTGCTCTTTTGTTACACGAGTATTCTTCAATTAACCATCTATTTAATATAATACCACTTGTAAAATCTAAATAGAACATTTGTCAATGTACTTGTTATATCAAATGAAATCGTTCGTTGTTGAACCTGTTGCGATGAGAAACTTTTTACCACCTACACGTACCAAATTTGTCAAAATTTATTTTGATGGTTTGTCGTTTGTCAATGCGGTCGTTTAAAAACGTTCCGTGCAGAGGAAATCTTTATCTACATATCTAAAAAGATTTATTCAAGTAAACCGTTTCATATATTAAAAATCTGTTTATATTGTTACAAGAGGATAAATTTTGAAAAGTAACAGAAGTAATTTCGTTAGGTAACTGAACTTTTGATTTCCTAAAGATGAATATCACTTTGTGTTTCTTCATCAAAAAGTTTATAGAAATTAGAGGCTATAGTTATGCAAATATTTATGGACGGGAGGTAATTGTTTTGATCCCATAAAAAATGCAGAACGGATCCCGTATACTAAAGTTTCTATAAAAATAGTAGAAATGATCCCGGATTTAGAAAAAAAATATTTTCAACAGAATTGATCCTGGAATAAACTAATTTTTATATTTATTGTGCAGAATTGATCCTGGAAAACGTTTTTCTTTCTGCGAACAAGAGAATTGATCCCGGTTGACGTGTGTAGTTGTCACACCACATACGATCCTCTTTTCCAAAGCTCTTCGCTGATTTCTACATACTATATTCAATTCATACTCGCATAGCGGATATTTTCAGTACTGTGAACATTTATATGTAATTGATAAACCACCAATGAATTGTTCAGTTCGGTTACACACGTAAAAACTAATAGCTATGCTTTTCGAGCCATAGTTTGTTTAATAGTGATAGTAATAGTCAAAAGTGATGTGAGTGAAAAAAGTATGAAAAAAGATGTGACCGCTACACATTGCTATTGTTTATGTCTCAACGCGGTCTTTACATTCGCACCACACGTCAACTGGGATCAATTCTCTTGTTCGCAGAAAGAAAAAAGTTTTCCGGGATCAATTCTGTCGAAAATTTTTTTTTTCTAAATCCGGGATCATTTCTACCATTTTTATCGAAATTTTAGTATACGGTATCTATACTGCAATTTTTACGGGATCTTTTCAGCTTTTTTCCAATATTTATCGCATAGAAGTTTTCTTTTTTGGTTGTATTTATCGGAATATACAATTCTTTTGTGTTTGTGATCACGTACACTCATTAGAGATTGGCCCCATAAGGTAAGAAAATGCAAAAATATCTACAGTAAAGAGCATTTAACTAATTAGATGTGATTTGATAATTATAGTCACCTTGTAACAGAATTCATCTTAGTCACATTTTCAATTACTCATTATTTAGTCCATAACCAATATAATCAATTGACTCATTCCCGGTTTGCAAGCTAATTGCCTTTTTATATATTTTTCATTCAAAATATATTTTTTTATATATTTTTCCCTCCTGCAAGCCAAAAAATAAACGAAAAAAGCTCCCATTTTGCTAGCCAATTAATTATGAAAAAAAGATAGATTCTCTATAAATGATCAGATTTTGTTAATAATAGAAAGAATAAGATAATATAGCTCTCTACAACCAAATTCAACGTGTTCCGAGGTGTTCTCAGAATTCGAATGTTGTCAATTTTTCAGAAGAGAGCTAATGACTAGATTCTAAGTTCCAGAGTCAAGCGTCTAAAACAACAGATTCATCGACGCCTATAAAATGGAGATGCTGCAATACTATGATACCCGTTCTTCTTTAAATCATCGTTATGCAATTTTCAATTGTCGATTCGTCCCTAATTGACTTTGTAAGATTAAACAACATCAAAGGACACATCAAAAGTGCGAAGAAGTAATTAGGAATGAATCGAGACTAAATCGTGATAAAAAGGACGTTTAAAATTATATTACGTCAACGCTTTCCTTTTATGTTTGAATTGTAGTTTTTTCCTGTTGATTACTTTTAGAACGAACGAATCGATGTTTTTTTTCTTAATTAATTGGCTTTAAAAATGGGAGATTTTTTCGTTTATTTTTTGACTTGCAAGAGGGAAAATTGAAAAATATATAAAAAATCAATTAGCTTGCAAAGTTGGAAGATAACAATCAATCATTTGTAATTTTTGTTATAAACGTTCAATTGAATGTTTCTTTTCTATAGTATTCATATTCTACAATTGTTTTTAAACTCTTATTTACAGACGGAAGAAAGAAAGTGACGATAATGTCGTAATCAGCTACTATCAAATAATTAGGAAAATTTATTGAATAAAAAATATGAAAAGTAGATTATATACTTTTCATTCATGAAAAGCATAAGTTCAGTCCCATTTTTTGGATGAAACACACATAAAAAGCTGTATTATGGATAGTACATTCACTAAAAGCGCCTATTAATGTAAGATTTTCAATACACTTTTTTTTTGTCTTGACTAAAGTTCTGCCATGGACAAATTCTTGTATAAGAACTCATCAGTTCTTATACAAGAATGTGTCAGTATTGAAAAATTAATAATTTCACTCTCAAACATTACAATAGTATTGCATTATACATTATGGCATATTTCAATTATTATTTATAAGATTTTTTATCATCGATTTATTCGCGCTTTTCTGCAGGAGTGACGCATGAGTTTTATTTTTATTGTCTTTTCAATTTCAGATCTCTAATTTCTTTTTTTTCTGAAAAGAAATCCTTTTTCGTAGCCTCACTCGTTCTTACAATCATCCATTATCAAGTAGAATAGTCATGCGGGCTAATAAAAATGAATTAGCAAAATTTGAGCGTTTGTTATTAACATGGAATAACATTGGAAAAAAGCTTGAATTAGCCTATTTGAACATAATACGAAACAAAAATAAAATTGAAGAAAAGAATAAATTAATGAGTGATCATTCAAGCAGAAACACTGTAACACCGTCAGTTGATGAGCCAACTGGAAAGGTACGTGAAAATCGAATAGGTTAATTAACTTATCAAAGACATGAGGTAGTTTATAAATGGTGTAGATAGCAAACTCAGCAAAGAAAATGTTGCTATTTTTCATTCTGTCGAAATATTATTATGCACGTTAACATACTGTGTACTCTGACAGTCAGCTATTAATATTTGCTACCCCTCGAAATCTATCATTTTTTTGCTTTGCTCTGGAATCTGTCGAGCACAGTGAAAATATTGCATATCTCATTACAACATGTCCTACAGAGGTGTGCAACATAAACCAAGTTTAAATGCTTCATTGAGAAAATTTAACTTTACTTTGAAATCATAGCTCTGTCCAAATTTTATAAATTATTTCTGAAGAACTTGAGAACCTTCGGTTTAGGATTATATGAATCGCACATATTTCAGCCAAATATTCTTGGCAAAAAGCATACAAATCAGATAAAAGTCCAAACATAAACCAGAAAAAGACTGCCATAATCTTTCTTCTCATTGTGACATGGACCTGCTCGATTATGAGTAACGCTTGATAGAATAACACTTTCATGATGCCGGTCTATGTATACCCTCGACTTGTATACTTTCATCACGATACGTTGTTAGTTGCTTTCATGCAGGGTAGTCCCAGTGGTGGTATGTGGGCCCAGTGCTTGAGTTAAGTAATGAGACAATACTTGTGGACTTTCCAACTCAATGTAATTAATTATCCAAGCACTTGGCTGATCCAATGCAAGTGAATTTACTTGAAAACTTCATCCAAGTACTTGCTTCAAAGCGAAGTAGGCTTTTAGTCAAAAAGTTGTCAATGTCACTCTGAACATTGTATCGGCGCTTTTAAACTTTTTAAATCACATTTCCTTAGTAGTCTTTTTAAGGGTACCCCTCCCCTCTTTCTGGGCTTTCCGTAGAAATGCTGTGAAATGCTGCAATAGTGTCTTGAATACCTCTGGTAAAATTTTGAATTCGATCGGCTGAAATTTAAGGGGTGTCGTAATGTGGCACAATGAAGCCGTGTAGCAAAAAAATAGTTTTCGAGAAAAAACGCATTTTGTACATAGGTCCGTTTTTCCAGAGCATTTGCCGCGATGCTTATATCTCCGCGAAAACTCATCGGAAAATTTTGTAAAGAAAACACTTTCTTCTATCAGACCATGTGTAAGAAAAGTTTTGCATGTACAGAAAATGCGAGAAAAGTTTTTGAAACTAAAAAATTGAGTTTTTTTAGGTTTTTAAGGAAAAACTTCAAAAATCCATAACTTTTTGATGAAAGGTCGTGGAGTACTGGGATTGGTCTCATTGTGTAGCTCACACTTTCCGCTACATTAGGCTATACTCAGCTCAAAATCCGAAATTTTTATAAAAAAGAGGGAGGGGTACCCTTAAGGGTTGTCTTCTAACAGAACTGTCTTACTTTTCGGATAAAATCGTGCATAACGTAGCCTGCACCCTATAGGCTTATCTTTTGTTAAACGAGCTAGTTCATAACATTCACTACTATTGCGTTAGTCTTTCATTCTTGCCATTACATTTTTTTGGTTAGAAATCCTTGATTTCCCATGTCGATAAACGTTCAACCAGATTTAGATCAACACCGTTTAGTGGTTCAAAACGTCTATCAAAAAACAAACAAATAAAATGTGGCAAAACAAAACCAAAGAAAACTAATAAAGTCGCTGGAACAATTTCAAAACGAAAAATAATTTCGCGTGAAAAAAAAGATAAAGTTGTTTATCCGAGAAATTCATCGCTTCAAAAATCACAGAATCTAACAATTGCGACAGTGGCAAAACATGTAACAAGACAAGCAGAACAAGATCAACCATCTATTCTGTCACCTGCCTCCTTGTCAACAGTTGTTCAAGAGAAACTGTCAGCTATAACTACAATTTCATCTGTCTCGCCAGAACAATCTCCAAAACGTGATCTGTCACTCCATGACTCTCATACACGTAAACCATCAAAAGATCAGCGACTACTAGACTGTGTTAGAGAAATAATTCGAAGAGGGAAACTGACTCAATAACATGTTCTCTATATTTGGAAATCAACAGTAGTCATTTTCATCCTTTCTCGTCATAAAAACAAACAGATGCATGTAATTTTCGAACGGTCGGGATACTATTTGCGGAAGAATCGGTTACTCGTTTATTTGAAACCAGCTTACTGAACTGGTATCGTATGCAAAAATCGACTTACTCACACGCGCAATTCAGACAGAAGAGGAACGTCGATAGAGGTCGCTAGTTTTTATTTCTAAGAAGAACTTTGACAGGCTTTTACTATAAATTTTCATTTTTGTTGGAGAAAAAATTCAAAAGAAACTCGTAGTGGTTATTTCATCGAGCATTCTTATTACTGTACGTTACTGAGGTGTTACCAACGTTTTGCTATTAAAAATGGCGCCTGTAAAGTAATTTTCGATTTCCACGTGTCATTTTCTACTCAGCTAAAAGCGGCAGCCCGATAAAAAAATCTTTTTATCACAGAAAGGAGAAAACTATAGTTGTTCAATGCGTCTTCCACAGGACGAGTTACCACCACCAGTTGCGAGTCCATCAGGTCCTTCTTCCAATAGTAATAGCAACACAACTATACAAATACAAAATATATTTGCAGAAGTTCAGTCTCAGCTACCAAGTGTTGTATTTGACAACGACGACGATGAGAAAAGTATATCAGATGATGAATGTGATGCAGAAGCCGTAAGTTTTCGTGAAAAGTTTGCTCACGCTATTTCCTATGATAGGAATGCTATCGTCTGGTTTTCTCTTTGAAAAGAATGCTATTCAACAGCAGTATATTGCACACGACTTATTTGATACTAACTCTCGTTTACTCAACCCATATCCCGAAGATCTTTTGGAGTCTTTATTAAAAGGTAATGATTCGTTTATATCAGCTCATCCGAGATTACCAGATGCAGAAAATCAAAAACCTCCAAGTGTTGAACTACAAATGAGAGCTTCACCTAATCCACTGGAGAAAGAGAGTTTAAACGAAAATGCGTCAACCAACAAATCAAATCTATCGAATCATTCTCAATTTCTTTCAATGGATTTGCTCAATGGCATTGATTTTGGTAAATACAATTGAATAATCAATTATTTGTTTCACTTCTTTTTGTTTTAGAAAAATTAAACACGACGTGTGATAAACATAGTCGACTTCCGACAAACGTTTCTCGATCACGTCCACAACCAACTAGTGAGTCTGTAATTCTTTATTGTAATATGTACGGCTTTTGAAATATTTATTAGATAGTCGTGCATTTTCAAATTCCCCAGCAAAAGATGATGTTGTACTGCAGCGATTAGTTCAACATGCTTCAAAATTTGGCCATGAGAGTACCGCAGGACATTCGAACCACATTCCACCTCAACCATTTGAGAGTAATTATCTTGAAAATGATTTGTTTTTTATTTTTAACTTTATACTTATGTCTTTATAGATACTGGATTTCGAAATCTTGAACGTGCGCTGCACGAGGCCGAAGAGAGAGATGCACGTAGAAAGAGAATTATGGCACCAGAAACAGAGGTATCAGAATTAAAAATTTTCTCCTAATACTAAAATTCAAATTGTTCTATGATCGATCTTAGCGTAAAACAATCTATCTCGATTTACGCCAATCTGAAAAAGAAAAGAAACGGAAAGAAGAGGAAGAAAAAACGTCCGTATCGGTTATTAATCGTATTTTACAAAGAAATCCTACAAATTCAAAATCAGACAGTAGTTCAGATGATGATGAAAATAACAATATGCTATGGTTCGAAAAGCGAAGAGAAATGAAAAATAAACTTTCAAAGTCTTGACTATACTATACAATGATTTTTTTAACTTGTTAGTTTAGAAGTTTTTCTTCTTCTATTTTAAATAGTTGTGAACTTTAAACTTGAATGAAATGAATTTTAGTAATTTTTTATCTTGTAGGAACTTCATTATGTTTCACTAACATAGTTAATGTAATGACACTTAAGAACTAGAGGAGTGACACGATATCTTTTCTGTATTTTCTTAAACACTGTATATTTTCTATAATCTCGCATATGGAGTTGATTTTGTTATTCTTTCTACTGCATATCCTACACGAGCTGTTAAGTTTTTATTGTGTTTTATTGTTCTCACTGGATTACTTGTTGATAGTTTGTTAATGCTACCGGTGAAAATTATAATATCTTAAAGCAAAAAGCTAGTCGATTGGAAAGATCATTCTCTTTCCTATCGTCCTTCACACTAAAAGCTCATAAGTTTTTTGCTTCATCTATTCCAAACAAACGATTTATTCTTACATCCAACTCATCGGGTTTCAAAAATATCGTTCCGTAATGCTGTTTGAAATAATGCAGAATCTAAGACTGATTATCAGCATGGACTTAAAATGTCACCTATTTTGGTTTGTCCTATGTTAGTAGAATGAGAAGAACAAAGAAGTTCTAAAGTATCTCAGTGCTAAAAGAACAGGTAATTATTTCGGTTGATCCATTGCTGATTTGATGCATCAAACGACGAAGTACGACGGATGAATAACTTTTTTAAACAATAACAGTGCACAAAAATTTTTAATGCGTTTTATGAACAAAGCTCAATATTAGCAAAAAGTGATTTTCGAAAACTAAGTTTAATATAAAAGTTCTAAATTGTAATATAAGAGAAATCAAAATGAACACTTTATATCTAATGTTTTCTTCAAGATAGATTTACTAAATCAGTTACTTGTTGCCCTAGAGATCAAATCTTATAGAATATCTGTAAGAATCTTATATAAGGCAGTCGATGGAAATGCGTAAGATTCTTATATAAGAAACTGATAAGATTTCTATAAGATTCTGATAAGGATCGTATAGGAAGGATATAGTACAATTTCATCACATTCTCTAATGATCAGTACTCTATATTCTACAGTTTCATACGTGAAGAAAATAATTTTCTTTCCACTTATGTAAATTTTTCTATAATAAGACCTTAGACCCACGCGAACAGTCTCATGACTTGTCCCCACTGTCTACTGCTTGTAGACCGAATTTACTTCCACATTCTGTCATGTCTATCGTCAAATCTATCTTCACTATAAGAAGAAAATGAAGTTTGAAAAATAAAAATATGTGAGATGAGAATGCAGGGTACGACATGTTGCTCGTTTTTATAAATCCCGCTTTTTCACACTAATCTCTAGAAAAACTCGCTGCTTGAGATCCTTTTTTTTTCTATAAAGGTCGCATTCAATTCGGACTCTCTAACTCTTAAATCGTAGAAAATAGAGCAGATCGAATACTACTAATATGCATCAAAACTCTTTTCATAGCTGTCTTAATAAAGCACTAGAAGCAATCATAAAAGTCGTCTACTAACAAGGGAACATTTCCAGGTGAAGGAACGCTTTTCAGCCGGGGTTTCGCGCATCTGGTAGCCCATAGTGAGCTATGTCTATGGTAAAAAAAGTTTGGGTTTCTGACCTGTTTCTGAAGAGATAGAGCATTTTTATTATTACAACTATAAGAGATATCTTATCAGTAAAAAAGTAATATGTCAATCAATACTCATAGAAACCAATTGAGATTTTTCTCACATATAGTTGACATTTTCTCATGCAGCAGCATTCAATTTACAAAAGGCTCTACGGGCGTATCTTCTTGTTTTTCCGTTAGTTTTGCTGCTATGGGGCTTTCCGTAAATTGAATGCTGTTGCATGAGAAAATGTCATAAACAGCTCGGAGATGTCTCATTTTCTTCAGAAATGGTTGCTCTGCACGATAGACTTATTTGCAAAGAATTTCTGAATTGAACTCTGGGACTTGGTTTTCAGAGATTTGAGTTTTCCAGAGTTCCTGATTTCAGGAGTTTTGATGGAGCCTTTGTATACACCACTTGAGATCGGAAATTCTTTCAGCTATTCAAATCTTTTTTCAAATTTATTCTAGCTATTATGATCATGCAATAATTGCAGCTAGACGCATTTATGTGTCGCCGAGAGCCAAAGGGTTAATATTGTCTAAAATTGATAATTGAGTCTTCTCAAGGTTTTTTGAGCTCAAACTTTCACATTATGTTCCACATGGTGTCAACCATATGTGAGAAAAATCTCAATTGGTTTCTATGAGTATTGATTGACATATTACTTTTTTACTGATAAGATATCTCTTATAGTTGTAATAATAAAAATGCTCTATCTCTTCAGAAACAGGTCAGAAACCCAAACTTTTTTTATCATAGACATAGCTCACTATGGGCTACCAGATGCGCGAAACCCCGGCTGAAAAGAGTTCTTTCATCTGGGAATGTTCCCTTGTAAGTTAAGATTCTGATTAAAAAGCGGGATTTATTCCAACGAGCAACATGTTGTACCCTGCATTCTCATCTCACACATTTTTATTTTTCGAACTTCACTTCAATCTTCTAAATGATTCATATCTAGATGGATCCAGGCTTTTTCGTCAACCTGCTTATATACAGACTACTTTCGTAGTCTAGGTTCCAGGGTATTATCGTCAATCTGCTTATATATTATATTACTTTGATTGGTTTCAAGTGATATTATTTTGGATTGGAATTATTTATTTATTCGTTCGAATTCCACTGATTTTTGGCTTACAGGTAACATAAACAAGAACTGTGTGTTTTTGTTTTCCTTTTTTTTACGTCACAAAATTGTGACGGAAATAAATGCCACGCCATAAACTCTTGAAAGGGTCGGTTTCATTGACCTTGACAAGTGGCGATGATAAAATAGATCGTTGTGCCATAGTGCAAGCAGTGAGTAAAATTCTCGGTACATCAGACACAATTGAGTCCATCGGCAATTTGGATTCCATAAGAGAATGGTTTATCGGATTTGGTGAACCATTGTCCCAGCAAAAGTTGTTGCAAGAAGGAGAGTTGAAAGTCGATTTGCAGAGTTTTTCAATTCAGTTGCCGTATCAAGAAACAAAAATCATCCGGTTAATGGGAGTACCCACATCGATCAGTGATGATGAAATAAGTCAAATCGTGAGCCGATGGGGAGGTACGATTATTAACGTTGAATGTGAAAACCTTCCTGCCCCCGTACGAATCCATAAAAACATTTGTTAGACGCGTGCGCATGCGTTTTCCATCCAAAAAGGAAGAAGAAATCGTACCTATATCTTTTAAGCTGTATGCTTTAACTGTTCCAGTGCATCTTGAAGGACGAGAAAGAGTCTGTTTCCGCTGTAAACAGTCCGCTCATTTAAAACGTGATTGTATAATAGAAAAATGTCAAGTATGCTTTAACTTGGGACATAATGATCCTCCTGTCAAGTGAAGCGAACATATGCCTCTGCACTTGCACACCAAACGCCGGATACACATGTTCATATGGTAAAAAACCGTTTCGCCAAAGGACGATTCGCCAAAAGACAGTTCGCCATGGCGAAATGTCATGTGTCGTTTCGCCAACTGGCGAAATGTCGTGTGCCGTTTCGGCCATTGGCGAAGTGTCAATGCCGTTTCGCCCAGAATTTGTACAGTTTCACCAATTGGCGAAATGGCACATGACATTTTGCCAGTAAATGGTTAGAACACCGTAAATTGTTATCAGTCCCCAAGTTAACTTAGGAATCTCACTGATTCTTGATCCCTAACTTGACTTAGGTATCGCTATTTAAATTATGATAATACATATGTAAAGAAAATGTCGCTTGACTATAGGGAAAACATTTTAAAGAGGAAAGAAGCGGAAAACTCATCCGACTATACTTTCTTTATCTCTATAAGTCACACTTATATGTATCTTTTCTTTCTGTCTATTTTCCGTGTTCTTCCTTATCTCTCTCTATCTCGCCTCTTAATTCTTTTCTTTTAATCTCGGCCCGTTTACATACGAAGACTGTTCAACTGCTCATCCTTAAACAGACGAACAGGCCATGGAATATCGAATTTGTTTTTAGTTTGTTTAGTTTATTTGAAAATATATATTTCGAGGGAGGTTTCCAGGAAATTGTCTTTTGGCGAATCGTGCTCTGGCGAAACGTCAGAGATTTCCCAAACTTTTGCGTACACAAAAGATGGTAAAAAACCGTTTCGCCAAAAGACAATTCGCCATGGCGAAATGCCAGTGCCGTTTCGCCAATTAGCGAAACGGCATAAGACACTTCGCCAATTGGCGAAACGGCACATGACACTTCGCCAATTGGCGAAACGTCCAGTGACACTTCGTCACGGCGAATTGTCTTTTGGCGAATCGTCTTTTGGCGAAACGACAGAGATTCGTTCATATACCGACACCAACTCCAAAGGTCTCGGTAACTATACAAGATACAGCACTGCAACAGGATCAGATACCGATAAACCGTGATGATCCATCCTTGTTCCCTATAGTAGTAATGCAACTCCGTCGTAGCATGCTTCAAGTGATGCAAGTGTTGCTATTTGTAACCAGGATAAAGTAGAGGCTCAAATGATGGAGGAAGTAAAAAAAGATCAAGACAATAATGTGGATGAGAATCATGATAGTCCTGCGGATATGCCGGGCGGTGCAGATGATCCTCACGACGGTATTGTCAATGAACAAACATAAATCCAACCACGCTTGATAGTAATCAATGCGGCAGTGGATTGGTAACAAGTACTTCTAGACCTCAGCTTGGTGTGTCTACGTCAGTTCTGGATCATCCTTTTGTTGGGGATGCATACCAGTTGTATAAGGGAAATCAGGCTACAATGAAAAGGTATCGAAATAGTAGTACCTTCGATGAAATAACACTATCAGTGGCACAAAGTGAACATGAATCCAAAAAGCAACACATGCATCTATCATCATCCGCGTCCAATGTGGAGGATGATGAACGGTTTTAGTTTGGTCATATGTTTCGCAAATGCTCCTCGTCTACTCATATAACATACAAGGTATATGTTCTTACCGGAAGAAAATTTCAGGCTTGGGTTGATGATACTCTCCCTGATGTTATTCTTCTTCAGGAATTACATATGACCAAAGCGGAGCAATTAGAAACTTTTAAAAGCATATTTAATGAGTATAACGTTACGTGCAGCCTTGGAACATGGCCGGCGGATGGTGTCCTGGCAATGTCAAGAAAGAAACACCAGGTGGTGGATAGTGGAGTGGATCATGTGGGTCGCTTTACTTTCATCAAATTGGTGGTTAAAAATACTCCCATCGTTTTTGTTAGTGTGTATGCTCCTGGAAATCGATTGGCTCAACGACAAAAGTTTTTCAATGACTTAGCTCCTTCCATACCAGCTAGTACTTTCGTACTAATCGGCGGTGATTTCAATTGTGTACCTGATCCTAAACGGGATCGAAATAGAAGCAGCGAACGGGATGACAAATCCTATACGTGCTTGAAAAGGGAGATTATTCAACCTTTCCATTTATTTGAACTTTTCCGGTCGAAACATCCTCGTACTATAGTGTATTCATTTCATAGCATTTCTCATAATGTTCAGAGTCGTATAGATTTCTTCTTTGGGACCAAATCAATACGAGATGTCACACAGCGAGTATCATGTGTTCCTGTCGGTTTGTCACATCATGACAGCATCTCAATCGAGCTTAATATGCCCTCGAGTGAATCTTCATATCATCGTTGGATATGCAACTCAGCAGTTGTAACTCGTAAGTCATTTATAGAGCGTTTCAAAGATATTTGGAGTGTCTTTCTTAGAACAGCTGATTTTGAGTGCCAAGAATGGTGGTTAGATTTCAAGACAAGTCTAACATTGCTATTACAAGATGAAACTCATGAGATGGTAAAAGAGTCCCGGCGCGAATTATTCAGTTTAAAAAAGAGTTACCGTCGGTTAGCTACCAACCCATCACCGCATGATTTTGTCTTGATGAATAACATACACAACCAAATTCATGAAAATTTGGAAAGAAATCTCTTGCAAAAACTAATGGAAAACATGAACGAAATGTCGAAAGACTGTCCGAAAGCATTCGAAAGACTGAACTGCATAGTGTTGAGCAGATGCTAAAGAGTACACTTTGGTATTCTGGGATAATTTGGGTTGATCTTGAGAATTTTTTAATTCCACTCAAAAATAGGTAAAACTGGGATATTTTACCTAATACCCATTTCGGAGAGGACACTTTGGACTATATATCTATGAAAAGAACTGATAGAGTGCTTTCTCAGTTGAGAGAGCCGAACTGGTTTTCTAATGCTCTTTTAGGAAATCGGTTTTTTGAATGCTTTCGGAAAACGGTTTTGCTTATGAAAATGCAGGCTAAGCTGATCACTTTCGATTGCTAAATACAGCAAGTTTCTACCTTTTACCGTCTTTCAGTTATTCTGAAAAATAATCACCGGCCTTATATTTTGGCGTGTATAACAATTGCGATTTTAATTAAGATAGTTAGTACTCGTTGATAAAGTAATTAGGTTAGATGATTCTGTGTTTATTTTGTAAAGAATATTTAGTTGTATACGTAGTAAAAGTTTAGATGAGTTATAAATAATATTATTATAGAAGAGCTAATATTCCTTGGAAGTGACCTTCGTTCTCTAAAAGTATTGATTTTTTGCTAACAATAAAAATGTCCGAGGTCTCGTTCAGTGATTTCATACTCTCACATCATCCACAACAGAAAAAACTTAAAACAAAAAAAAATCAATGAAGGGGTGTACGTGCTATCTCCGTTTGTTATAAATCGTTGCCTCTAAACTCTTCTAATTCATACACTTACTATCTTGTTATAGGTATTTTAAGGAGGTCGGGAACACCAGATTTTATTGAGAGTTTTAATGACCACAATCTGAACAGATTGCAAGATTCTCTTGAGGTGATTTTTAGAATGTTTTTCTTTTTAGACACTAATCTTGGAAAATTCAACTGGCAAGAAAAGTTTATTAAATACGTTGGAAACAGATATAAATAGTCTTCTGTATCGCGTATTTTTTGAAGACACTTTCAAACACACCTGTGAATTGACTTTTACTGGTGGTGATTGAAATCAAGTTATTCTTCTCAAAAGAGTGGTTCAAAGGCCTTGTAATAGATGGAAAAGACGATCAAATATCCGAACTGTGTAAGCACGATAAAGAAAAGAATTTAAGACTATAAGAATCAGGCAATTCTATAAGAATCTTATATAAGGCAGTCGATGGAAATTCACAATTTATTGATAAGATTTTTATACGAAGGAACATAATAATCGTATAAGATCCTGATAAGATTTCGGTAACACAGATTATATAATTAGTTCAGAAGAATTCATAAGATAAGTTAACATATGAACTTTTATTTACGTTAATTAAAGCGTCTGACTGTATGCAGACTGAATGAGTAACCCTGCATCGTATTGGATCCTACGAAACACAGGAAATCGTTTTAGAATCCTATGAAATCGTACGTAATCTTATTCTAGGAACACATGTGATTTCTGTTAGGATAATGTGGTACTTCTTATAGGATTCTATCATCTGAACCCTACATTAGCTCGCACTAGGAAACCTGTCAAATGCTGTGAACTGTTATACAGGATTATCTAGGATTTTGTCTTGTATTTTAGTAGTGACAACTCATTAAATGTGTTTTTCAACATTAAGATTCTCTGCTACGATCAATCAAGAAACTCGGTTCTTTGACTACTGACTATTGGGTGGTGAGTCATGCACGTAACTGTACAGGAAGTTCTTTTGTGACTGCTTCTAGCGCTTTATTAGCAACTTTAGAACAACTATGAAAGAAATTTTGATGCATATTAGTAGTTGTCGAGCTGCTCTATTTTCTACGACCTAGAGAGGGTGATTTGAATGCCATCTTCATAGAGAAAAAAGGATCACAAGTAGTGCGTTTTGCATAGGAAGAAAATTACTTTATTCATGTATGAAGTAGTTGACTTAAAAATATCTTATGTAAGAATTCTATAATTTTGACATGACTCATTACGATTCTTATATGAATCTTATCGGAATCTTATAAAGATAAAGAAATATATCTGTAAATTAATCTTTCCTTTCTCGCAAAACGTTTACTCTGAGTGGACTAATATTAGACCATGTTTGACCACACCGATTCTATACAACACATTTGTTTGACAGCTATGCTAGGAATGAAGTTTCTTAAAAGTCATGTACTGGAGCACTTTTTTGAGTAATCATTAAACAAATCTCAAATACAAGTACGAGTATTACAAATTTTGTACTCGAGTGTACTCGCCCATCTCTGTCATCTATTTGATCATAAACATTTTCCATTAAATGAAAATGCGAACTCACTGAAGCAGATATCAGCACTTTTTGAAATCAGCTCATTCTATAGCTGGTTTATTCATACACTACTGGATTCATACATTTATGTCAAGATGATCTCATTGGTTTCATCCATGGGTACGGTGGTGGCCAAAATTGAGCGTAAATTTTTTATAATTAATTTTTTTTCCTCAACCATAATAGTCAGAACAAATTTGGAAAAAGATTTGAACAACTGAAAGAGTTTATAATCAGATGAGGTGTATATGAAAATTCCATTAAAAGTCCGGCAAATCAGGTCCCTGGAAAACCAACATTTTAGAAAATTCAAAAAATCAAGTCTTGCGATTTCAACGGAAACATTTGGTAAATAGCCTATTTGTGTAGAGGAAACATTTCCGAACAAAACTAGACGTTGTCGAACTCTCCACAACGTTTTTCCATCGAACTGCATTCAATTTACGAAAGCCCCTCGGTCGTTTTCATTATCATTTTTGCTCTTTTTCTAGCGATTTTGCTGATTTTAACGTGGAGGGGCCTTTCGTAAATTGAATGCAGTTCATGGAGAGTTCGGCGATGTCTGGTTTTGTTCAGAAATGTTTGTTCTGCACAAGTGGGCTGTTTACAAAACGTTTCTGTTGGAATCACGAGACTTGATTTTTTGGGTTTTTTAGGGACCCGATTTGCAGAAATTTTAATGAAATTTTCATATACACCTCATCTGATTATAAACTCTTTCAGTTGTTCAAATCTTTTTTCACATTTATTCTGGCTATTATGATCGAGGAGAAAAATTAAAAATAAAGATGGACGCTCAATTTTGGCCCCCACTGTATATTGCTTTTCTTTTTAGGCCTATAAAGTAAAGCTGTCATTTTCTCGTTTGATGGTTGAATCATTAAATAGTAGTTTGAATGTTGTTTTATCATGGAGATTCCCTTCATTTTCTGTGTGTATTTATCTTTATCCATGATTACGATGTCATTTCCTTTGTTTGGCTTAAGTATAGCCAAAGATTTATAAGCTCAGAGTTTTCATGATGATAGTGTTTTGTTTTGCTTCTAAACTCTTCTCTCTTTTCTCAACCGTGTTGCTGCCACTTGAAAGAATCTGTTGATGATCTTAATTTACTCGATAAAGTCATTTCATGTGTACTGAGACTTAAAACATTCTGATTCACCAATTGTTACGCAATGAGTAAAAAAATGTGATCGATTATGCATGAATAAATTGAAGCATCATTGAAAAGACTGTTTATATTGCATATTCGCAGATAATTAGTGTAAACATACCGGAAAAGAAAAGAAAATCAGTTATCTGTACATTCATTAATATTATACAGCTGATTGTAAAGTGGCGG